AGTCTCCTAACGCCAAAGAGATCCAAAAAGGCCATTTGCTATGCTCAAGGTCATATGGTGGGCAGTGGCAGAGCAGGCACCAGGCCTCAGGGTTTTCCTCTTAACTTTTCTATAAGAAAAAAGAATCACGTGTGTGATGGCACTTAGTCTAAGTTTTGTGGGGTTTTTTTTGTTTTTTTTTGTTTTTTTTTGGTGGGGGCGCGGGGAGGGGCGAGGACTAGAAAACGAGAATACAAGCTCTGGCCGAAAGAGGCACCATGCAGTGGCAGAGCAGGCACCAGGCCTCAGGGTTTTCTCTTAACTTTTCTATAAGAAAAAAGAATCACATGTGTGATTAGTCTAAGTTTTGTGGGTTTTTTTTTTTTTTTTTGGTGGGTGCACAGGGAGGGGCGAGGACTAGAAAACTGGAGAATACAAGCTCTGGCCGAAAGAGGCACCACGTACTCACACTTAGCTCCTGTCAACTATTTCCTCTGGGAATAAGTACTCAATGTTGCCAACATTTTTCAGTTAAGAGAGGCCTGGAATCTATTTTTGAATTTTTAAGTGTTGACAACTAATTTTTAAAAGTTTAAAACACTATGGTGAAACAAAACTATTAATGAGAGATTTAGCTGGGGGGCTACCAATTGGAAACCCTTGCTGTAGACCAGACCGACTTCCCCACTTTCCTTGGAAGCTATATGGTATGTGACAACCCAAGGTATACTTTTCTCCTCTTCTTCCTCCAGGAAACCTTATCCAGGGAGCTTTTCCAACTCCCTTACCCTTACACTCTCCAAATTTACTGTAATCCATTATTGATTCAAAATATATTTAGCATTAGACTACTCTTCATATCTACTTCCACCATTCTAGCCCGAAATCACCATTAGGTAAGTCGAGAACATGTTACCTCTCTATTCAAAATACTCAGATATTTTCCCATACCATTTTGAGTAAAAACCCTCATTACCTCTCTGTCCTCATATATTCCTATTCTTTCTTATCTCTCTCAATCTGCTCCTGTCACATGGCCTCCCGTTTGACAAGAACACCAAGCATACTTAACCTAAAAACTTTTGCCCTCTACTTGGAGCATTCTTCCCCCAGATAGCCACATGACTTCTTCCCTATATTCGAGTTATTGCTCAAATGTTAGCTTCTCAGTGAGGTCATCCTTGACCACTCTATATAAAGAGCACTCCTAGTCCCTACGCAGCTCATGCCCCAGGTGCTCCAAATTAACAAATTTCATGAAGTCTTCCCTAGTTTCTCCTTTTCCCCGCCCACCCCAGAGATGAAGGTTCTTTCTTCCTCCCAAGATCCTTTATCTCATTTTCCTTGTGAGCTATCAGTTCCACCTAGTATTACATTGATTAGGGCTTTATCTTTCCCATTATACCCTGGGCTCTTGGAGGGCAGGGATCATCATGTCTTACTATCCTCTATCTCCTCCAAGCACAGTTGGCACAATTAGTACTTAAGGTTCATGGCCAAATCATTGAAAGACTGATAATTGATTAATGACAGGAAAACATGGGGTTCCTTCTCCTTATATGAGAGATTTTAGTTGAATTGGAGATTTTAGTTCCCTAGACTAACAGAAAAGTAAGGCACTGGATAGGAGGAAAGAGCCAAGGGAAAAAATTGTGGGGAAAACTGAGTTCTTCACAGAAGCTTCAGAGGGCAGGATCTAACCTGGTGAGTTAGGTCTTCCAGAGGAAAAACACAGAGAA